AAACTGGCGTACCTAGAAGATAGGTCTCGCGGAAATAATATTAAGATCAGGGGCATTTCTGAGACCATCGCACAGCAAGACCTGCGCTCCTATGCTGCCACATTATTCAGAATCCAACTTCCAGATGTACCAAACACGGAATTGATGATTGATAGAATCCACAGGCTCCCGAAACCATTGTTTTTGCCAGAAAAAATACCAAGGGATGTCATTCTTCGGGTGCATTTCTTCAATACTAAAGAGCAAGTGATGGCTAATGCAAGGTCTAATTCTGCTCTCCCTGACCAATATTCGAAACTACAATTCTTCCCAGACCTGTCGCAACTGTGGTGTGTCACTTGTGTGACAGCTCTGAGTCTGCTTGGGCTGCTAACATCATGCCCAAGATGGCAGTGCAAGCAACACAGTCTCAGGGCTTTTGGATGTCTACACAGTGAAGGCTTTTAAAGCTTAATAACATACACAAAATACCTTTAGGATATCTGCCTCTTTGTTTTAAAAATCAATATGGTAATGAGCCTAGCACACGTATTAAATCAGCAATATAAATGCTATACCTTTTGCTGAACTCCAGGAATCACACAAAAAATATCCTTGCAGTAGGATCCCCCTTATTGCAAGAGTTTAATGCTCATTAAGTCTGGAAGTAGAGGAATAAGCTGCAATAGTCACCTTTTCCCTCACTTTTTTGGTGCTTTCCTCTTCTTTTTGATGCTCTGGGTGGTTGGCAGTCCGTCGCTGTCCTCGTGTACATTTTACACTGGGTGTGTAAATCATCATTAAAAAGCTGTATGCATCATTTTCCCTGGAGTTTGGCTTTTCCCACCAATGCAATGTCTCTTCAAAACAGTTACTTTCAAGGCATGCCCACTGTCAAGTTTGCCAGTTCAACTCTCAACTGTACTTTCCAGCCTTCAAATGTCTGGTGTCATAGCTGATCGCATGTGCAGTACCATGGCAACTGCAATCCAAGTAGAGGCTAAGATAGCACCTCCCTAGGGATAGGAGGGTGTAGTCCTGCTTTAAATACAGAGAATATAGCAGGAACAGTCTCTCTGCCACAAAGCTAGTAGTGTGATTGGGTAGCACTCGTAGCTGGTGTACCTGGAAGATATTCAAGGACAAATTCTTGCATAGCCAAAAAAGGCCATGGCCAGGACGACATGGGTGTTATCCAGCCACCAGCACATCATCCTTTTGACAGTCATGCATTCTCATGCATGATTATAGTTTCCAGCTTAGTGCCCTCTCCACCAATGCATTCTGACTGTGTCTGCATTAATGTCACCCTTGCTTTGCCCTTCAGGTTTGTTGGTGGCATTGTGCACTGCGTAGGTTCATGTACACACTCTGAATGCATACACCTACAACCGGTCTGATTATTTCTCTGCAAATTTTCTGGTTGTTACAACACAAACATGTTTTTGATTCTGGTTGTGTTAGAATGGGGACATTCACGTGGACATGACTATGAATCTGTTTTGATATTAACTTTGTATATATATTTCAGATCTTGCTATTGTGATACCAAGGCTAGATAGAGATGGTAGTCGTAAGACCTAACCTTACAAAACCATTGCTCTGTAGAACAACTGTCACACCAACATGCTCTATGATTTCATGCAAATGTTTAGGTTAATTTATTGATTAGACACTCCTATAGCTGGCCTTAAAAAATAGGTGGGGGTATGCCCAGAACAGTTAACTATAGAAGGTAGAGCAATGCAGTTGGGCTATGGCAGAAGAAAGAGGAAGTCTGGCCCCAAAGATATTAGCCACAGTGCGTGATTCCTTCCTGCTGCTCCTAACATGACATAAATATCAGTTTTGAACTCACAAAAAAGGAATTTAAAGAGGGCAAACATATTTATAGAACAAAACAAATATTAATACAAATACAGCAGTCCATACTGTGGCTCACTTTTCCTGAAATATGTTTAATTATATTATAAACTGTATATTTGGGGGTCATTGTAGACCACAAACTGAATGGTAGCTTGCAGTGCCAAGCTGCGGTAAACAAAGTTAGCAGGGTCTTGTCCTGTATTAAGAAGGGGATGTATTGCAGGGACAAGTCTATAATTCTGCCTCTATATAGATCGTTGGTTCAGCCACATGTGGAGTACGCGGTCCAGTTTTGGTCGCCGGTACTGAGAAGGGATGTCCTTGAACTGGAGAGAGTCCAGCGGAGGGCAACAAAACTAATTAGGGGAATGGAGGACCAGAGCTATGAGACAAGGCTTCTGACCTTAAACATGTTTACGCTGGAATTAAGGAGATTAAGGGGGGTTATGATTTTCATGTACAAGATGTTCAATGGTGACAGCAACATTGGCAACAAACTGTTTGAGATTAACTCAATTACAAAGACTAGAGGCCACCACCTAAAGTTGGTGGAGAAAAAATTCCAGCACAATGGGCGAAGAGGGTTCTTTACAGTAAGAGCGGTTAAGGTCTGGAACTCACTGCCATCGGCAGTGATTTCAGCCAAGAGTGTAGATTTGTTCAAGAAACGTTTGGACAATTTCTTGAGGGACCTTAATATCCAGGGATACCAGTATCCCTAAGAATGAGATGATGCGTGGACCTATATGGGTTGGACTTGATGGACGTATGTCTTTATTCAACCCCAAATACTATGTAAATATGTAACTATGTATATTTTATTGGGGTATAGTCTTTTAATGACTCCTTGTCCTTACTAAGGCTTTATTCAAGGTTAAGTTTCTCCCCAGAAAGTTAGGATTGACTGCAAATATTCATTTGTCTGTTATCTTCAAAGCAGCAGACACTAATGTAAACATCCAGAAATCAAAGACATGCCATGAGCTTTATAATGTACACTTCCAGGGTTAGCTGAGAAATGTGAAGTATTCAGGGAAAACATACAACAAAAATGTGATAATTTTGGATCTATAGCTTGTGGGGGTATCATGTCATGTATACTTAGGCCAGGTCAGTGCTCTGGTGAACATAGGGGTCCATCTCCAGTTTGTGGTGTTGCTCCGGCCTCCATTGCATATACGAAAACTTCGATTCACTTCACAGGGAACAAAGGCCATTATGGCATTAGAGTATTGGTAGCAAATGCATTTCTTGAAAACAAATATATAATACAACCATGGCCAATAAACTTTATTTTAAAGAATAGCTATTTAATTTTTCATTAGCTTGTAATCACATCTTAAATCACAATGTAAGCATCATCTTATACTTAAAGAAAACCTTTCAACATATCTTTACATTTCATTCCTAAAAATACTTTACTTCTGTACACCTTGCATTTGAATTACATATCCCTATGTTTATACATCCCTCTTCACCCCTAAAAGAAAAAAAAAAGAAAAAAACTTTAAAGCCCAACTCCAGCCAAAACCTTTCCTTTTAGGCTAAAACCTCTGTCAGGTTTGTAATGCTTTGTTCAGGTAGGTTTCTCCTTACTTCCTGTCTGTTTGATGGTTGCAAGTCTGAACATGAAATGGAGGAAAATCTCCACATTTCATTTCTGTTTTGATGGGTCATAGAACTTATATGGTAATATTGTTTGTTAATTGAACATTTTAATGGGAAACTTATGATATAAAAAATTGAAAATGTTAAAATAGATCATACTTTATATTTGAATTGACCTTAAAGTCTAACTCCAAATAAAACATTTGCTTTTTAAAGTTGTGGAAAGAGTGCTGAAGGGTTAGGACATTCAAAAGCTGGCTACACACTGAGCGAATTTTAGCCAGTTAGTCAAGGCCAAAAAAGACTGCTCCTGCACAACATTCTTCGATTGAAAAATTGAAGGAGCTGGGTGGAAAATTGTTGGTGGAACAGTTACTGCATCCATTCAAATCATTAGTCTCCAGTAGTGCCTGTGGTCTCCCCATTACTGACTAACCATGCCTTGTGCTACACTGTGTCGGATGCAGACATCTTGGTAGAGAAGCAGGGTGTTGTCTTCACATGTCAGAGCTGGCTCTAATGACTGAGGATTTTTTGACTGTTGGGGTATTGATCAAGAAGCAAAGCCTCTTCTAAAATAGATTTACTTTTTGAATGTCAACTTTAAGGCTGGATTCACACCTTTACATTTTTGCTTAATGGGTTCTGCATTGAAATCAATTGAAATGCATCAAACCTGGTCTCAAGGCATGCATGACGATGCACATCATGGTGCATGCAAATGCATCATGAAGTCCAATGGATATCTCACCGCACTCTTTACCAGTGTGCCCCTTGGAGAAGGGTGCTGGAGTGGCTGCGGATGGCTCCGCTTTAATCCAAGAAGATACAGTATGTCACAAGCACACCCCACTCCAAAATCCTCCTAATTGACACATGCACATCAGGTCACAAAGAAGGCAACGTTTCAGGGCCACTCTGGGTCCCTCCATCAGGCTTGGTCATATTGAGCCTGATGATGGGACCCATAGTGGCCCCGAAGTGTTGCCTTCTTTGTGACATGATTTGCATGCATCAATAAACACGATTTTGGACACCATACTTAAGTGTACTGGTGACATACTGTATCTTCTCAAATGCATCATGACATGTGTTAATTAACGTTGATGACGATTTGGCATTCAATACAATGTGCATTGCAAATGTGAGACAATGCATTGATGTGCATTAACATGTTTTGATGCTTTTCTTTGGATTGCAATGAAAACACATCAGGGAAAAATGCATATGTGTGAGTCCAGACGTGTCATGCTGATCCTGATTGATAACTAGCTCTGGAAAATGACTTCACAGCAGTTGTATATACTGTAACAATTATCAACATGTACAGAGAGGTCTAAGGTCAGCTGTCACTGAAACTTTAAGCATAGGTTAGGTTTCAGATTGCGTCTTCATTTGTAAGATACATTCAGTTGTTATTTTTATTTTAAAATTTGCAAAACAAATAATTATATTTGCAGAAGACAGTCAGCAGTGAAGTGTTTATCGGATCTTTAGTGGCCACTCACTTATCTGCACATGTTCTCTTCCTTTCTTGTATGTTCTAGTTTTGGCATGAACCATGATGGAATTGGAAACTCCTGTGGGACCAAAGGTCATGAAGCTGCCAAGTTAATGGCAGCTCACATTACGTCTAACACAAACCCTTTCTCGTGGTCGGCCTGCAGCAGGGAATATATCACCAGCTTTCTAGAGTGAGTACCGTCTGCTTTCTATATCCTTATGTTTGACTGCCATTAACCTGTTGATAATACTTTTTTTCATACTGTTATACATTGCAGTAAATGTACTACATACTCATGTTTTCTACACTAGCTCAGCCAGGCTGTTATTATTAGATCATTCCAATATGTACACATACATGCCACAAGGAAGAAGCAGGGGTTATTCCACCATTTTGCAATAGAAATACCAACTTTTACCATTTGTGCCAGTGACCTACTTGCTTCCATTCTTCATTTAGATCTGAACTCAGAGAGATAAATATACAAATTAAATGCATATATGGAAACTGTTTTCAAAGGGTTTGTATTTCTTTCCATCCAGTCCTGAGATTTGCACAGCTCTCCCCTACCACACAGCACAGCCCCGTCAGTCTGATTTTTCTCTGCTGTAGTTAGGTAATACTTACAGGTCTTTGTCCTTTTCCTAAAGGGGCAGCAGGCTAATGAGCTCATCCCCCTGTCATTCTGCTCTCTCCTCCTTTTAGCACGTGCTTTGTTTTAGAAAAAAAAAGTTATGCTCTTCCTCCTTTACCACTGAAACCTAGGATGTTGGACTCAAATATATAATGTAAATGATATAACTGTCCAGGGACTATGTGCCTGGGTGCTCTGCTCAGTAACATCAATAGATAAATAGAATGTTTTAGAGGCACTCATATTTTTTGAGCAGGAGTGTATGACTAAACAGGAGGAGGTAATTCTGTCCAACGTTTCAGTGTATCACAGTCCATCTTTGTCAAGATATGTATATGTTTCCTATTGAGTTTTGTGGAGTATAAAAAATTAATTTTGCCAATAGTTGCCACAGTTTGAGGCTTAGAAATGGCTATAAGTACACAGACCCAGTGAGGTGTGACACAGAATACAAATTTAACTTTGGGTTTATTTCTTAAGATTTACATGTAATGATTTTTTGGATAATAAGCATTTTTATGGTACTGAAGATGATATGTGAAAATAACGGGAAGTTGACTGAATGTTGGGTGTGCACACAATATTTTTGTGACCAATGCCTTACAAATTCTGATCTTTAAGCTGTCTTGACAGCAGTCAGTCGCAAATGGTGAAAAAATTAAAAGTGTCTTTAATGCTAGGGATACACCGATACTGATACTAGTATTGGTATCGGTGCCGATACCGAGTATTTGGGCGAGTTTATCAGGAAGCCGTGTAATGACGCAGCGCCTGGCTTCCTGATTGGCCGGGAAGCCGGCTCCATGCTCCCTCGTCACTTGTCAGGAAGCCGGGCAGCGCGTCATTACACACTGCCCGGCTTCCTGATTGGCCGGAAGCTGGCCAATCAGGAAGCCGGGCGCCATGTAATGACGCAGCGCCTGGCCAATCAGGAAGCCCGGTGCCGCGTCATTACACGGAGCCCGGCTTCCATGATTGGCCAGCAAACCGACTCCATGCTTTCTCGTCACATAGTGACGAGAAGCATGGGGACGGATTCCTTGCTAATCGGGAAGCCGGGGGGTGAGTCTTTACATGCTGCCCGGCTTCCCAGCTAATCAGGAAGCCAGGTGGCGAGGCATTACACGCCGCCTGGCTTCCTGAATGGGACTTCTGGTACTCGGTATTCGGTATCGGCAAGTACCGAAAAAAATATCGGTGCTCGTATTCGGCACCAAATTACCGGTATCGGTGCATCCCTAGTTAATGCCACCTGTTTCATTTTTTTACTATCCGCTGTGGCCTAGGGGCCACTAAATATGAGATGCCTGCTGTATCTAAATACTCCTAAACATATTGGTCCTCCCATAATCCTGCAAACCACCCTCCTTGCTCCATTTCATATGAGAGCGTCAACAAGCTATAGAGGGGTTCCGACATTGCATTTGGTATGTGGTGGTAGGCTTGCTGATGCTAATCATTAGCATTAACTGTGCATCCCAGATCATGGTGTCTTTTATCACTTTGTTACATTTATAGATTAGAGATTTCTCTGAGGTCTAGGATACTTTTAATTACATGGTAGGAGACTGAAATTTAATTGCTCTTTGATTGCTTCTTATGAATTTTAATTCCCCGTCTACATCACATGAACCAAAATAATATCACATGTATGCACATCTCTGATGTCCCAATGGACTGTACAGACGTGCAACAATGTGGTTTTACAATTGGTGCCTTGTCATAGAATCATTATATTACTCTTCTCCATAATTGTCATCACAGGTTACTGTAAGGTACTACTTCAACTTTCGATGCATATGTGGAAGTTGCCAAATGTTCTTAAGTATAACAGAAGTTACTCACATCTGCTGGGAAGGAAGGAGGTAGAGCAGTGTGGGGATTCAGCAGCTGTTTCTTGGCAGAAAGGACTTTATGAAGGCTCATTGAGATAGCTGTTGCCCATATGTCACCTTTTCTTTAATATCCTTAGATATTTTGTGGTGTGATTGGGATTTTCAAATTTTATGGCAATGGTTAGGATGTTGTTAATGTATACCTAATAAATTGACATATTTTAAAGTTAAACCGATTCAGCCAGGTCTGTGTATTTTGATTTCCATCAGTAATGTTTTGGAACGCTATCCGTATGTCATGGAATTATCTGCTTTGCTGCGGGAAAACCTATAAACGTTTTATTGATGTCCAGATAAGCAGGAAAAATTTAGTACCATCAATATACTGTATGTTGGTTAATTTAATGGTAACTAAAACAATGTACCCTATCTAAATAGTTTTTACATTGTTTTCTAAGGATATATAGGGTTTTAGTGCACTGTTTAATTGAATGAAAATTAAATGTAAATATTAATCATACATTTAAAAAAATATATATTTTCAAATTATTTTAATAACCTTTCTCTCCATCAGGTAGCCTGCCTGGGCCGTTTTCATAGTCTTACCTCCACTTTTCTCATAAGGTAGTTGTACAGTGTATCTAAATATGACTGTGCAGTCCAATAGCCACCAGAGTTTGGCCATGCTGCCCAGTACAGATCTGGCCAGACACACCCCTCTTCCTCCACTACAGCAGAGAAAGGGGTGTTATAAGGCATTTTCAAAAAAAATCAGCTAAAAATCATGACATGCAGATATACAGAACTATTAAGAAAAAAAGGTATGATTTACCTTTACATTGTAATTGGTCTGTATGACAGCAATGTGATAATGTATGCAGGGCAAGAGATCTTGGGGTTTAAAAATGACAGAAGCTACTTTCAGTAGTCACTTTGGTTCTTTTGGCAGCTCCTGTTTTCTACAAAAAGTCTCACTGAACAAATCGTCAGTTTCTCTTGTACCCTGGGGGGCATAGTGTATATAGCACTTTGTCCCAATTTCATGGATGGTGAGCTGGCATGGTCATAGGCATGCCCCCTATCCCTACTACTGTCTGACTATGGTGCTCACAAGTTGATGAATAGCTAATTAGGGGGCATATCAGCACAGGTAACAGCTTTAACAGCTGATTTGTGTTTTTTATCATAAAAGTTTTGTTTTTGGGAATTATTTTAATAAATTTAAAAAATGTAGCTAATTAGGGGGCATATCAGCACAGGTAACAGCTTTAACAGCTGATTTGTGTTTTTTATCATAAAAGTTTTGTTTTTGGGAATTATTTTCATAAATTAAAAAAAATGTATTAAAAAATTAATTTGCCTGATGATAATACTTTATATGTTTATTTAGCAGCTAATTCCAGATTAGTCATTTAGTCTTTTTTATGTTTGTAAGGCCGGAAATCATTACAGTGTAACTTCTCAATCTTCTATTTCTATAACATTTATTGTAGGTTTAACACTGCTCCCGTTGATGGGGGCTGAGGAGATTACTTTCATCAGTTGCCTGGCATAAGCATAAGTATTATATTGTCTAATTGTCAGTAGAATATTGTGGCATGTGTACAGGAAGCACAGGTTTTTTTTTTAAGTGTATCTAAAACCAAATTTACTTTTTTTTATTTTGGATAAAGTAGGGAAGGGTTAGAACACCTGTCACGTTTTTATTGCTGTCTGTGTCCTCACTAGGATGCTTAACCCTCTCTGTTTGTTCTGAAGACCATTGAAACCGTGACTGAAAGTAAGGGGGGGGCCCAGATTTTTTTTTTCTGACCATAATAAAGGAATAAAGAAAATACAGAATGTACCATAAAAACCATTAAACACTACCTTAAAAGTAAACCGGTCTCAGGGCTTATTCAAACTTGTCCTTTTGATACATGCAAAAATGCATGTTAAATAGAAATCCCATTCTTTCCTATGTGGCTGGTTCACATCTATGGGCTGCAGTTAAGTGTTGAAAGACAGGGGTAAATTCTATGGGCCCATTCATACTTAGACATGTGTGTCACCATGCAGGCTGCATGCACATGGAACAGTGTAAATTCAGCATCAAACTTGTGCTATTCAAGCCAAGCAGATGTTGAAAAAATGCATAAACGGGTGAAAACTGCATGTTACCGTAATCAGTAGATCCGTATAAAATATAGACAGCTGACGTTACAGGCAGATCTTGACTTTTACAGTAACGATCAAACATGGCACTGGCTCCCACACCTCTTTATTGCCCATAAGGTCACCCATCTATTACAAGAGCTATACAAAAGCTTTGAGGGCTGGGAAAGAAAAGGAGCAGGCAATATTCACAAAAGTTAAAGTTTGCATATAACTTCAGTTGCCTGTATTTCTGGATTTACTTATTATTTCGGCCTGTTTTTGTATTCAAGGATACTCATGATTAAATATATTTACATCATGTTCTCACTTTTAAGGGGAGTTTACCTATGATTCCACTAACAGGAATAAAAGGACAGAAGTGATTTCCACAAAGGAACAATAAATAGTGTGATCATTATCTGGTCATACTGGTGTCCAGCCCTATGAATGACGAAAATCTCGGAAAAGAGCTGAATATTTTTTGTATTCTTGTTCCATTGACTACATAAAGAAACTGACTTATGTGGTTCTTTGAGAATCTTTGTGTCTTTGCTGAAAATGATTAATATGCCAAAAATATAGTTGACTGAAGGGCAAAGCCTGATTAATTTGCTGGCTGATGATCCTAAAATGCAGAAAGTAGCTTGTTCTGTAAGATTTATTTTGGCAAAAGCCATGGTATCAGGAGGAAAATGCGAGTTTATGTGGAAACATTTTTGGAGACCATTTCTTTTTAAACACAGTGAACTAAGCATTTGTGATTCACTGGATTTTGAAATATTGTGACTTGTTTTGGGAATTTTTGTTGTAATTATTATTTTAAATGGATACTCGGGCAGTGAGTGTTCATGCCTTGTTCCAAAAAATGACTTAGCTGTAGATGTTGAGTCTACGTTTTCCTGGTCTAGACAGAAGTGTATCTCCTGTGCATTTTTTTGGCCATTAATGAGTGACAAGGCACAAGAAAACCTACCACAAATTTTGGAATCTGCTCAACAATGTTTCTGACTTGGCATTTAGCTTGTGCCAGCGTAGGTGTTTATTTTGAAGTCTTCAAATGGAAAAAATAGCAAAGAAACTTGTAGAAAATTGCTTTCAGTTTGGTAAAATTATGTTAAATTTGTGGAACATCAGATGCATACACCACTTCTGATCTTTAGACATGTTAACTCAAAACAGCACCTGCAGTGCAGTTTGGGCATCTCACTATACATTGCTGAGTCCCCAAGTGGCATTCTGGGGTGCAATGGAGATGTTCTTCAGCATTGACTTCAGTGTTGGTGCCCCCTTGAAATGGTTTAAAGAAGTGAAAAGCACTGGTCTCTACCTATTGGTGCTCAACTTTCAAAGGCTAGTTTCTTAATTGCTGATTAGCGTCAGGTTTGCTTTAGGTGAGGACATTTTTTAACAAATAACTGCTTTTTTAAGTATATATTAACCAGTACTTGTCTGATAGCTCATGTTTGAGTTAAGGTGAACATGGATAGGCTGTATCCAGATGTTTCTCTGACTTTCCCAAATACCTAAACAAAGGTGTCACTCTCTTGCAAATGGATCCTCAATGGATTCTTCTTAACTTTACATTAAGAAGAATCCATTGAGGAAGAGTAACATCATGGTTTGAGCTAATAATGGACCGCCAGTTGTGATGGACTCCCAAAACATATATTCATCCAACATGAATTATCTTGCCAGAAACAGGAGGCAGTCCAATGCACATCTCAGTTCAGCAGTTAAGTTCAGCAGGCAGGTGTATGTAATATACAGCACATCCTGCACAGTGCAGTAGTCAGGAGTATGTAATGTACAGGATAGCCTACAGAGTGCAGTGGTCAGGAGTATGTCTGGGGAATGCACTGTGCAAAGTGGTGATTGTAGTGCTCTCTTAGGGCTCAGTCACACTAGATGCAGTGCGTTCCGGCCCGATTTTGTCCGGAATGCACTGCCTCGCATTGCAGCAGACTCACTTTTATAGTGGGGTAGGAGGGGGCGTGGTGGGCCATTCAAGTGAATGGTACCGTAGCCACGCCCTCCGGCCGCAATGCCATCCACCGCACGGGATCACAAGGCACATTGTGCCTGCGGTCCGATCCTGTGTGGTGCAATCAAAATAGTGCTTGTAGCCTTTTGATCGCACCGCACAGGTTTGGACCGCAGGTTTGGACCGGCGGATAGCATTGCGGCCGGAGGGAGTGGCTACGGCGCCATTAACTTGAATGGCCCAAAACGCCCCCTCCTACCCCACTAAAAAGTGAGCCGGCCGCAATGCGAGGAAGTGCGTTCCGGCCAAAATCGGCACGGAACGCACTGCATCTAGTGTGACTGAGCCCTTAGAGTCGTTGTCAGTAGAAAAGTGCCCCTTGCATTGGTGTTCAGTATAACAACCCTTAAGTTGGTGTAAGTGTAATGCATCCTTATAATAGTGGTCAGTGATGCAATGCCTGTTACATTGTTGGTCGGTGGTAAAGTGATCCCTTACATTGGTGTTCAGTGGTGAAGTGCCCCTTTACGGAAGCGGTCAGTGGTGTAGGACTGTTGGTGTGAGAGCTCGAAGCCCATGTTCTGGGCTTCCAGCTCTCTTCTGCTACACTGAGTAACTTCAACACTGGAGCGTTGCGGCAATTTTATGTGGGAAATCAGTCCATTGGGAAATACCTTCATCCTGCTTGGCTCTCGTTACACAGGTAAACATTCCCAAGGTATTGTCCATAAATAGCCCTAGTGGGATAATTTTGGTTTAATCCACAACCTGGAAGTATTTACATCTGCGGACTATTTTGGAAATGGTAGCACAGTGACTGGAAAGGGACACAACTCTATCAAGTTGAATGTGTTTTAATTCTGCTACCAATCTCATACTGTTGATCCATAAGAAGGTAAATCATAAACCCCAGTGAAGAAGCTGAACACAGGGGAAAATGTCCTAGCCTGAACCCATACATTTGAATTCAATTGCATGAACAAATCAATATATTGACTTAACCCAACGTAACCACATTTACTTACAGCATATGCGATTTTTTACTAAGAACGACATGTATTGCAACTGTGAATATACTTTTAATATACTTTTATAATTATAACCACCAAAGTCTGACAGGAGCAGCGAGATGTGGAATAACCTCATCCTTCTGATCGTCCTTTACTGTCTAACCAACAGTCTGGGGCAAACTGGTGGCCAAGCTATACTACTATAACTGTAGTGAAAACAAATGTTGTCACGGACATGGCTTGACTGTCTGGCGAGAATGTCAAGATCACGTATTTTTATGCAGGCAAGACGGTTCACATGTATTTAAAGTTAGTATTTACCACTTGTAAATTAAAGTACAAACAACTTACTTTCTAATTGTTAATTACATTAGAATCGGAACCTGCCACTGCAGTGTTTTCTCTTCAGATGAATCCTTTCCTTTTATTTGTTTGGCTTTGTTTCTTCCTGTAGGTGATGATTTCATCATTAGTGTGTCCAGGCTTCCTGCAAATAAGATGAGTAGTCTGTTAGGCAATAACCAACATTGACATGTCACATACCAGCTAAATCATGAGCAGCCTGCCTTACAAAGATCAATTTTACCATAATGTTTATAAAATTATCCTGGTTTTGTAACTGCAATGGTTAAAGATGTGTTTTGTATCGTGCTTCAATATGTCATGATAGCTGGAACATGGTTTTATATGAGTTGCCAGCAATTAATAATGGCAGGGTAGTTTATTTGCAGACTACATGTCTTAATTTTGCTCTGTGTTAACCAGTTCAGGCCGTGGAACATGCCTCGATAATGAACCTCCAAAGCGTGACTTTGTCTACCCGGCAGTGGCTCCAGGTCAGGTGTATGATGCCGATGAGCAGTGCCGTTTTCAGTATGGAGCAACATCACGCCAATGTAAATATGGGGTAAGAAGTTGTCGTCTTTAAGTTAATAAAACTTTGTTTTATTTTTATGATGATTTTTTTTTCCACGTCCCAATGCTAAGTTAACAATACCATCATAAAGTGTGGAACTGCTACATTTTTTTCTTGAATTATTATTTAGTAGTTAGCATGAATATTCAGAATATAAGAATGCCATCAGCAATGAGAGTTTAACTTGAAAGGCAGCCAGGAATAGAATATGTAGAAATCAGAAGATCTCGCTGCACTCCTTACCGAAGAAGAAAGACCCATACGGATGGGTGGGTGCCCTGTAGTGACCACGGATGGCACCGGGAGAAGATCAGAAAGAAAATAACGTCACCAGCACTCCAAAGTATAATCAAGCAATACTCCATTTATTGGTACATTGCCATTCAAACACTAGCAGAGGATCGCACTGTAGGGGCGTGGCTATGGTGCCATTGAGATCAATGCACCGCAATGCCCCCCTCCCCCTTAACCAGAAAGCTGGCCAGAATGCGATTCAGTGTGTTCCTGAGCCTGACCGCTCTGGAACACACTGTTTATTGTGTGAACCGGCCCTAAAGGTTGTGCAATAAAATATAAGGTTAAGGGTCCCATCTTTTTGTCTATGCCATTTTTATGAGTTTTAAAATATTCTGTTGAATCAAAAATCAGAAGCAAAATCTGATTCATATTAGGTAAGGAATAAACAATGATGGATGCCAATTACTTCTTACAGTTGCAGGTTATTTCAGAGAAAATTGTGGGTTCTTCTTCTTTCCTGGAAGGGTACCAACAAATGTGTCCACATCTGTATCTGTAAATGTAACACTGGCACCTTACTTGGCATGCATGCACGTGACTGGAAAAATATTTGATACTTAAGCCACTTTAAATTGGCTCAGAGGACACAGCCTACCTTCTACACCCGATGTCCTATTTCTATTGCCATTCAAACACTAGCATTTGAATGTCAATGTACCAATAAATGGAGTATTGCTTGATTATACTTTGGAGTGCTGGTGACGTTATTTTCTTTAGGAATAGAAATAGGACATCAGGTGTAGAAAATGGACATCATAATACAAGTCTTTGAGAAGGTAGGCTGTGTCCTCTGAGCCAATTTAAAGTGGCTTAAGTATCAAATATTTTTCCAGTCACGTGCATGCATGCCAAGTAAGGTGCCAGTGTTACATTTACAGATACAGATGTGGACACATTTGTTGGTACCCTTCCAGGAAAGAAGAAGAACCCACAATTTTCTCTGAAATAACCTGCAACTGTAAGAAGTAATTGGCATCCATCATTGTTTATTCCTTACCTAATATGAATCAGATTTTGCTTCTGATTTTTGATTCAACAGAATATTTTAAAACTCATAAAAATGGCATAGACAAAAAGATGGGACCCTTAACCTTATATTTTATTGCACAACCTTTAGGGCCGGTTCACACAATAAACAGTGTGTTCCAGAGCGGTCAGGCTCAGGAACACACTGAATCGCATTCTGGCCAGCTTTCTGGTTAAGGGGGAGGGGGGCATTGCGGTGCATTGATCTCAATGGCACCATAGCCACGCCCCTACAGTGCGATCCTCCGCACCAGAACGCATGGCACACCAGTACCTGCATTCGGGTCCACTGCGATCGGCAAAAATAGTACTTGCAACATTTTTGCAGATAGCACTGGACCAGAACGCTGGCACCGTCATGCCCCTTCCCGCCCCTGGATGCAGGAAGCTGGCAGGAATGCGATTCAGTGCGTTCCAGAGCCTGACCACTCTGGAAAACACTGTTTATGGTGTGAACCGGCCCTTTGAGGCAATTACTGCAAACAAGTGATTTCTGTAGCTCTCAATGAGTATTCTGCACATACGAACAGGCGGTTTGGTCCACTCTTCTTAAAAAACTGCTCCAGTTGTTTGAGGTTTGAAGGGTGCCTTCTCCAGACTGCATGTTTCAGCTCTTTTCATAGATGTTTGATAGGATTCAGGCCAGGGCACATAGAAGAATAATCCAATTCTTTGTTCTTAGCCATTCTTGGTGCTTTTAGCTGTGTGTTTTTGGGTCATTATCCTGTTGGAGGACTCATGACCTACGGCTGAGACAGAGCTTTCTGACACTGGGCCGTATGTTTCACATCAGATATCTGCCATAGTCTGCCATTTTTGCTATCCTTCTGTTCAGTCTGGGGTTCATTTTCCTCATGCAGCCATGTCCAGGGAGGTTGGTTGCACTCGACTGGACCTTAAAGTGCAACTGAAACCAAAACTGTTTTTTTGTTTTGGATAGAGTGGAGAGGGATTAGAACACCTGTCAAGTTTTTATTGCTGCCTATGTCTCCTGTAGGGAGATTTACTCTCTCTATATGTCTCTATATCTGGCTTGTGTTCTGATTTAAACATCTTAATAATACATGCACCTGTATTCACAGAAATATCAAGCTGCTTCAGATGATCTTATAACCTTTACGTTTGACATGCCAGTCCATAATTTTCATTTTGAGTGACTACTTTTCTCCATTTGAATAGGCTAACTGACTGATTTCAAGATTGAAGACATGTGATACTAATTGCAGAAAATATCTCTATGATCCAATTATTTATAATCTTTTCTAGGGGTACCAACATATCTGTCCAGGCCATTTTATAATATCTTTGTACAATAACCAATAGTTTATAACGTTTGACACTTTCTTTGGTTTACTCTATGACATACCAAAGGTATACAGGTAAACCTGAGACAAATGCTTATATTTTCATCACTTTTCAGAAGGAATTAATTGTTCCACTGAGCTGTAAGGGCACCTAGAAAATTTTCCACATCTGTATTTGTTACAAGTCACAGAAATCACAGTACTGACTATGTCTTCATCTGCTTTTTTGCTCCAGAAGGATGGAGCCATCTTTGTTCAGGTTTCATCCAGGGTCAGCATCCATGTTGGATCTCCCTAGGCCAAAATGCTGGCTGTCCTATTATTCAGGATTTATATAGCCCTAACAGTTTGTGCAGCGCTTTACAATATAAGGAAGACATTACATTTACAATACAATTCAAGACAAGATGGTTAGGTGGGCCCTGTCTGTGAGAGCTTGTGTTCACAAATGTCTGACATAGATCAAGCCCTTCTGCAGCTTCTTATCTTGTGAACTAATTGAAAGTTACATTGTTGCAGTCTGATTACTGAGGGAGAAAAATGCTCCCTGTTGCCTGCAACAGACAGGCATAATCTCAGCCTAGTCAAAGTCAGTGGGTTTTTTTGTATGATAAAAGGTGGAATTTTTTTTTTACATTTATGCTGTTGCTGTACATTGTTACATGTCAGGATTTGTTTTCATGGAGACATGTCAGGATTTTTTTTACTGAGTGGTTCACTTTAATTTGAAGCATTAGATAGGTGCTGAGGGGCAGCATCAGAGTTTAGATCAGCTGATCCTCCCTTTAGCAGATATCATTTGACCAAGTTACATAGTTACATAGTTACATAGTTAGTCAGGTCGAAAAAAGACACAAGTGCATCGAGTTCAACCTAGAGAAAAAAAAAGCCTAAACAGAACACTATGCCCACAGTTACCCATTGTTGATCCAGAGGAAAGCAAAAAAAAACCCTATAAAGCATGGTTCAATTTGCTCCAAGTGGGGGAAAAAAAATTCCTTCCTGATCCCATAAGGCAATCAGATATTCCCTGGATCAACAATCTCTGATGCCTAATATACCTATAATAACTCAATATCCAGTAATATTCTGTGCATTTAGGAATACATCCAAATATTTTTTTAAACAATTTACCGAGCTAGCTAGAACTAGCTCCTGGGGGAGTCGATTCCACATTTTCACAGCTCTAACTGTGAAGTACCAAGGGCCTTTGGTTATGTGAATAGCACTAAAGCAGCACTTCCAGTAGAAAGATATTTCAGCACTTCAGTTACTTTTCGCTTATCCACAGGTTTAAAGCAAAGCAGTCAGAAATTGCAGCACAAACAGTTCCTATTAGCAAATACCGAAAGGTAGCCATAAATTCTAAATATACTAAAAATACTAAATATTGTTTACATGAAATACATCTTTGAAGACGATTTTCTGAACATTCAATTTAATTCTATTTTTAGTTGTACCAATCTTATTTGAAGCTTGCCCCCATCACAAATTCACAATGAGTATTTCATTAAATTGAGGCCTGCAAAAGGGAAGTTAGTGAAAACTCATTGTAGACAGATGTGTGAGGGTTTTTTTTTATTAAGATCATAATTGGAGTTTATTCCATATAAGAACCACAGCCTCTCCTAAGCACCCACCGCTTAACTCAGCATTCAAATCTATAATTGATGTTGACATTTGCTCGCTGTGTTTCAAAGAAAATTAATTTTCCGTGTCACTGAAGTTAAAATATTCATGAATTTTCATTATCTTCAAACAAAATGTTTAATTTCCTTACAATACTTGGAAAAGAGGCATTGTCATTAGTGGGGAGATCAGGACAAAAAGATGAACTTTTTAGGTGTGTATTTCTCGTCTGCATACATGGCTTCATCCTCTCCCACCTTTTTTTTTTTATAGTTTCCAGATGTTCCAATTACATTAAGATCAGGTTTCCTTTTTAATTGGTAATATGATTTGGAATAATAAAGACTTAGGATCAGGTTTTCATAACAAATGCTTTCACAGGCAAGTGAGAAGACTCTTTTTTTCTTTTTAATTGTTTCCTGTAAAATCGTCGAGGTTTCCTCACGTGGGGGAAAAGGTTCCTTTTATTCTTTGTGACCAACTCAATGTCCATTTACAGCTTAAAGGCCAACTCCAGCCTAAATGGCATCAATGAGGACACACACTGGAATAAAATCTTAAAAAATTAGTACCTGCCCCAACTCTATCCAATACGGAAAAAACGTTTTTGCTGGTTCAAGTAAACCTGACACCATTTGTGAATATTGACATTTAAGCTCCAACTCCATTTATCTATGTGGTGATAGGAGGATAGGACATATGGACGCTTAACTTTGATGGAACAAACTGCCTTGT